CCACCTGGGAGGGAAATGGAAGGGGAAGGAGCAGACATTCGTAGCACACCCTCAGTGAGCCATGGTCTCAGCCTGGGCACAGAGAAAATGCGACACTGTCCCCTCCTTCAAGGGCCCTTGGCCGACTGGGTCCTCAGGGCTCAAGCAATAGTGTTCTTACCCTTCCTCCTCCTCCAGGACATCCTCTTTCCTCCTTCCGGGGCCTTCTGCCCCCCTGAACGGACGCTGGGCCTTAACTGTAGCTCTCAAGTAAGCAGAAGCAAGGAGGGGCCTCCCCAGGGGCAAGCGGTGAGGTCTGGATCTGGCGGCATCACCCTGACCTAGGACACCTTCAAAATGAAGAGGTTCACAGAGGGACCGCCATCCCCAAGTCCACTCGCTTGGCACTTGCCTGGGACTCTGTGGAAAAGGCCCTTTGGATCAGGCTGGCTTCTCCCCGTGGCTCCCCATAAACACCCATAAAGGAGGGGGTGATGATTAGTTTCATGTGTCAACTTGGCAAAGCTATAATACCCAGTTATTTAATCAAACACTAATCCAGGGGCTGCTGTGAAGGGATTTTGTAGACGTGGTTAATATCGACAGCCAGTTGACTTTAAGTGAAGATTATCCTCTATAATGTGGTTGGGCCTCACTGAATCGGTTGAAAGCCCTGAAGAGTAAAAACTGAAGTTTCCTGGAGAAACAGGAAATTCTGCCTCAAAACCATACCCTCAGCTCCAGCCTGAGTCTCCAACCTGCCAGCCCGCCCTCTGGATTTTGGATTTACCAGTCCCCACGATGGCATGAGCCAATTCCTTGAAATGAATCTATTTACATAAATGTATATCCTGTAGGTTCTGGTTCTCCATGAAATCCTGGCCGATTCCTGCTGCGGCCCAGCTCTGGTCCCCCAGGGCGGGGGGGGGGGGGGGGGGTTGACAGGCTCTTCATGAGAGGGGCGCCTCCCTAAGGGCCTGCGGGTGCAGCCGGGTTGGGGTGCCAGTAACATGCCGGAGGGAGTTTGGGCGGAGGAGGCTTGGAACTTTCTTGGTGTGTGAATCTGGGCAAGTTACTTAATCCCTTGGAGCCCGGTTCTGGGCCTACAAAATGAGACTAATCATAGCTCCTTGGCAGGACTGTTGAGAGATTAAGGGGGTAACAATGGTGAAAATGTCCACAAGGAGCACAGCTCACAAAAACTGCTCGACAAGGTTTTTGCTTAATGTATCGCTTTAAGGGAAAACGAGCAGGGCTTATCCTCTGTTGGAGGAAGACTAAGGAAGGGGGAATTATCTAGGGGACAGCTGGGCTTCCTTCCCGCCCCCGGCCTGGGTGGGGCGAGGCCTTGCACCTGGCTCTGTCCCATGCAACTGCCAGGTACCTTCCAGCACTGAAATTCTATGATTATAGGGCTG